TTTAGTTTCCTTTTCTTTTCACCGAAAGCGTTTTTTTTGGGGGGGGGGATCAAGCTTGTTGGGCCGGCCGTATATAGGCTTGAAAATTGTTAGGATTGGGTTTTAGATTTTTTACATTCAAATTGCAAACAATCCTGTAACGATGAACTCATTTAGGTTCTTTTTTATTTTTTAAAAATTGTTCATATGATCTTAATATATTGATTTTTTTTGCATTGTTAATGATGTTGCAAATTTTATCTGTTATTTATTTTTTTAAAATTAAATTTCATCAAATAGTTTGATTTGTTTAGTTTTGGACAATGAATTGTTCATTTAAACTTTTTAAAAAAATGAGTTAATTTGAACTTTAGATAATGCTTTTTGATTTGCGTTATATATTTATATATATATTAATATTTTAAATATATATACACATTTAATTAGAGAATAGTGTAACACTCGTATAACTTATGATTCTATAATTTAAATTAAAAGTTTGTGAGTTTTAAAGGTAATGTATATCAAACTAAAATAAAATAATAATTAGACTGTAAAATTTGAAAATGAATTTTATTTGAATGAAAATGAAGATTTTAGTTTGCAAAGCTAATATGAGTATGTAGCATAAGTCCTAAAACTTTAATTTTTCTTATAGTTCTATTGCAATGTTAATCCTGTAGCAACAAATAGTTCCATACCTAATTTATATTACTTGTTATAAGATTTATTGTTTTATCATTTAAGAATTTTATAAGATTTAGTATTTTAATATTTTGTCTCTTAAAAAGAGTTAAGTTTTGCTCAAATTATTGCATTCTAGTTTCACTTACCCCCGGGAGAGATTCTTAAGCGTAGATGTTGCGCAAAGCATACTTAAATTTCTAAAGACCAAAAAAACAAAAAAAAATTACAGAGTTGAGGTTTCAAGAAGGAGGAAAAACTTAAGAGTGAATTCCTAAGAAGCACACTAATATATTACTAGGAGATTTCAACTTGTATATTACTACCTCCGGTTGTTAATATAAGATCTCGTTTAACGTTTATTTTGGTTCTAAATATAAGACCCAATCTATTTTGTCTTTAATATTTATGCATTTTTTCTTAAGCTAGTTCTTCTAATAATAGGAATTCTAGTCAACACACTTGATTAGCAAAGATATTTTAGGAAAGACAACACATATTTATTACAAATAAGTAACTTAATTTATTTCTTTAATATCTTTAAATTAGTCAGCTAGCTTTTATTATTAGGATCGAACGTAGTACCATGGAAGACGGTTGAATATATAGATTTCAGGCTAATAGAAAACAACAAATGATATCACTTATAAAGTAACACAACTCATCATAAAATAAGACCACAATGATACCAAAGTAAAAGCTAAAGCTAATGACTCAGACAACAACACACGTAACTCAACCCATGTTTGGAAGGGTGTTTGTGAAAACTAGGATCATGTAAAACGGGTTATTGGTTTTTAAGTTGGGAAATGGGCAGATGGCTAACTTCGGGTTTGACAGATGGACGCCTCCTCACCGTGAGGAGCTAGCAACTCTGGTCAATCGTGACTCGTGAGATTCCTCAGGAAGCACAGAAATGGAAGGTAATCTCCTATGGCGTTGGTCCGGTGAAGTCAGCCTACAAAGTAATCCATAATCCAGTAGCACGGGGCCACCATAGATATTGAAGGCGACTGCGGAAACTATTTGTACCCCAAAGATGCAGGACTTTTCTCGTAAAATGTATGAAGAGATTTATGTGACATACATTTTAGTTTTAAGGGCTAGATCGGGATTATCCCCTTTTTCCTTCTCGTTTCTTTCTCCACCTTGAGAGTAAAAAAATGAAAAAAAAGTTATTTTGAGAATAGATTTTGAAAAAATAAATTTGTAAAAAATTTTGATAAAATGAGAATGTTTGTATAATTATTATCAGCATCACTTTTTTCCATGTATAAATTGTTAAAAAAACATAAATTAATATGATAATCACTTAAGAAGATTAGATTTACCTCCTCTCATACACGCTGCCTCCACCCCTTACTTTTGCTTCTTGTTTGCTTACGATATCATCAATTGCATTGATGGCTCATACTTCTTTTGTCCTCAATCAACATTGATTGCGAGTCATGTTTCCCTACAGCCAATAAACTCTTACTTTTTTTTCTTTCATTCCATCCTGTATAATTAATCTCACCACTACTATCTTTTCCTTCTTGGACTCGTGTAAGTCTCATGATAATGTTTACTTAATCCAGCTACACTTACTTTCAGATTTTAAAAGTTTAGCTCCACAGTTTATCTTTATATGTGTTATTGCAACTGAAAGCCAATATATATACATGTGTATATATAAATATATATGTTTGTGTGTGTATATGTATTTTCTTTTTATTTTTACGGAACAGACTCCTTTCATCACATCATGTAAAGTAATTACCTTTGTTTTACTTCAAGCCCCAATTAATGATTTCTTCCACGGGGTTACCATTAGGCTTTTCAAATGTGCTCCTTTATTTATTTGTAAAGCTTATAAATGGATCTCCTTAATAACATATGTATATAAATATATACACGGCATGATTTAGGTAGGAGGAACGATTTCTACCTTATATAATTAATTTTAAATAAAAAATAATTATAATAATTTGATCATATACTTATTTTGATTTCAAATGATATACACACACGAATCAAAGATTGCTTTGTTTATAAATTGAGAAAAAGAAAGCACAAATTTATTCTAAGTGCTTCCATCTTTATACAACGTCCAACTTCTAGCAATGTATATAATACATAGATTTAAATAAAGACTAAGATCTATAGAATTTACATTATGATAATATACATTTCTTTGGACCTTCTAAAGTAACTTCGAAATATTAGGATAGCTTTAGGATAATCTTAAAATTATCTTAACATTGATATCTAGTAATTTTGAGTTTTAAATTAATTTTCTTGCAAATATGTGACTTGTAGACTCTCCTTAAGAGCCTCATTACCTGGAATTAATTGTTTGACCGCTGGAGAGCTAAAGGAAACCAAATAACTTGAGGTTTTCCATGTGTATACAATCTTTATCTATGATTAAGTTTATATTGACATAATATATATATCTCTATCAACTTATTTGATATAAATAAATAAGACTGTAAAGGTGAAGGGATATAAGTGTATTATCTTCTATGCTATTTGAATTCTCCTTTAAGCATGAGTGTGTTTTGGTTATTTTGTGAAGATGTATAGTGATTGTTTCTTTTCAAGCATACTTGCATATGCTAGATTTGTTATAAATTCATGACATGCATAGGCGGTTGGACTTGAGATTTATGATACTGATATATGTGACAACTGTGACCACGTGGTTTGCCTCCACTTAGCGCAAAGTGGTTGGCTTTTTTAAGGCTCCGTTCCTTTACTACCTGGCCAGGTTTGTAGAGGGGGAACATGAGACAGTAACACCTCCTGGTTCTTTTAAGGAGAAGAGTCATAGTCTAGGCTTGGGCTTCTGTATCTTTGGCCAGATATATCTTAAGTATTAGAGTAGCTTTGGTTAGTCCAGTGTGTGGCCCAAACCATGTATAAGCCTATGGTTCTAGTGAGCAGAATAAGGTTGGATGGAGCAATAAGGGAGGAACCATCCATTGCATATGAACATAATATATTATTAAATTAGTTATATATTTTGCTAATAATTATTTTAAGCTGTTGCAATATTTGTTTGCTTAGCTAATATGAAAATGTTTGGGTAATGGTTGTATGTGCATGATTAAACTCTGGGTTATTGAGACGTTAGTACTCACCCTTTTAATTTAACATTTTCAGGAAAAGGTTTCAAAATGAGGGAAGACATTGAGGAGTGAGTTTTATATTCCTCATGTGTGGTGCATGTTTCCTCCATTTATATTTAATTTTGCCATGGCTCTCGGATATTCTTTTGTGTTCATTTTTCTTCTTCTTTTTTGTTTTTAAAAAAAAGGCTATACTCAATTACATGATAACTCAGCTAATCTACTACTTAAAATTCTATTTATACTTTAACCTTAGTCCTAAAATTAGTTTTATTTTTGCTTGTTAACGAGGATACATTTTTTTTATCATGGAAGACTTCTATCACTCTAGTTTTATCTTTTTACTATGGTAAATGTCTTTTAAATTTGTTTTCCTTGCAATTACATAACCTTAATCATTATGATTATTATAAAAGAACAGTGTTACAAATAGCACCATAGGCATTGGAGGCAACTGCGATATGTGACATACATTTTAGTTTTAAGGGGTATGAATCTGGATTATCCTCTTTTACTTCTTTTTTTTCTCAACCTTGAGAGTTAAAAAAATCAAAAAAGTTATTTTGAGAATAGATTTCGAAAAAAAATAAATTTTGTAAAAAATGATTTTGATAAAATAAGAATGTTTGTATGGTTATTATCAGTATTACTTTTTTTCATATATAAATTATTAAAAAAAACATAAATTAATATGATAATCACATAAGAATATAGATTTATTTATATGGTGTTTGAAATAATAAATTTTTAAATAATAAATGATATATGAAAAAAATATAATTATTGATATTACTTTATTCTTAATATAAAAGCTAATTAGATATACAATTTGATTGTTGAAACTAAATTTACTTTGTTTCACACCTTTATTCATTTTTTTCAAAGTATTTTTTATTTGTACATTATTAACAAGTAATTGATGAGAAATGCAACACCTATTTATTATAAATAACTAATTAATTAACATTTTTTTAATATTGAGAAATTAGTTATCTAACTCTTATATTAAAAATAAAAAATATAAGGTTTAAAATATATTTTCATATTCCAAACTATAATTTTATACTTTAAAAAAAATCACTTTATTCACTTCAAAAAATGATTTTGCAAAAAATTATGAATTACGGTATTTGGTTTTTTTTTTTTAATCAAATCAAGGTTTGCATCCAAACCATAATTTTGCTTTTCAAACAAGTGAAACAACCTAAAAAAACCCAAATCCCCCGCCCCCGAAAGTTTTCATGCTCTTGGCTATTTTCTCCTCGTCTTCCTCGCCCCCGGCCGCCAGGCGACTCCGTCATCTGAAGGCTATTTTATCCTCATCTGCGTTCACTATCGCTTCCAACCTTCACAATTGAGAGAGAAACTTGAAGCAGCAGTAGAAAAAGATGGGAGAAAGAAAAGTCTTGAATAAGTATTACCCTCCAGATTTTGACCCCTCAAAGCTTCCTAGGGTTCGAAGACCCAAAAATCAACAGATCAAGGTTCGCATGATGCTTCCTATGAGCATCAGATGCAATACTTGTGGGAATTATATCTATAAGGGCACCAAGTTCAACTCACGAAAGGAGGATGTTATCGGCGAGGTTTCATTTTCTACTTCACTTTTCAGTTTCTTTATTTCCTCCTCACTTTTGCAATTGTTGTTGTGATTTTTTTTTTGTCTGGGGTAAATTTGGTATGCGGCTTATCTCTTAATGGGCATGCTGAATTATCTGCTCTTCCCCCTCTATTTTGGATTTTGATTTTGAGTAACCTAAAAATGATTATTTGATTGCCATTGAATTTGCTTTTTGGTTCATATTTTGAGCCTTAATTACAATGCTATGTACGTTTATATTGTTTAATCTTTTTGCAGACGTATCTGGGAATTCAAATATTCAGGTTTTACTTTAAATGCACAAAGTGCTCAGCTGAGCTGACGATTAAGACCGATCCACAAAATTCTGATTATGTTGTGGAATCCGGGGCAACGAGGAATTTTGAACCCTGGCGTGCAGAGGATGAGGATGAAGAAAAATTGAAACAGAAGAGGGAAGCTGAAGAGATGGGAGATGCTATGAAATCCCTAGAAAACAGAACTTTGGACTCCAAGAGGGAGATGACATTCTAGCAGCTCTTGATGAGATGAAGTCTATGAAGGTACTTGTCACTTTTATTGTTATATCGAACATTCAATCTGACCCTTTCACATGAATGATTATTTAATTAGCGTGTCGTAGCATATATTGACATGGCTTTTTTATAATCATTATCACTTGTGTATGCATTTGAAATCTATCCATAGTGATCACTAACTGATGCCTCATTTATTTTTCTAGTCGAGCATGCTACTGTCTCTGTTGACTCAATGCTGGAGGCCTTGCAACGCACAGCTGCTGACAAGGTAAGTCTTGCAATTTATATTTGCTTTGCTTTAAATGATTTCTTTCTCAAGCAAGTAATTATAATGATTATACAAGTAAAATATGCGACACAAAGCATAATAATATTCTTGGCATGTATTTGGCTTGTAGCTTTAACGATAGGTTTGTTTACTTCTACTAGTTTGATCCTTTAATCAATTGAGTTGATATTTTATGTTAATTATAGAATCATGGATGGTCAATTTGGTGGTTGGTTGATGAATAGCTAATTTTACCCTCGCAGATGATTGCATAAGTCTTGGGTCTGTTGGAAATTGAATTAAGTCAGATGTAGTGCTTAGATGCTATATTAATAGGCATGGTATGACTGATCAAATCACGGTTCTGTAATTAACTTATACATATTCTTCATATTTCTACTGTATATCTACTACAGAAAATTTCAATTAACTGTGCTTTCTCCTTATTTTCGAGAGGAAGTTAAAAGCTTTGCACCTGCTAAAACTGCTCATTCAACAGGAGTAATTTTTGCTTAACTGTTTCTCTATTTTATGATTATGAAAAGTTTTTCACTCATTCAATATAATGGGTTCATGGGGAATGGGAGCTTAAAGTGCATTCTCTGAATGAATGATAGTTTTATTCTCTGTGAGCTTTTGCACATTATATGTAGTCCCTTTCTAAAGGATATCATTATGGAGAAATGAGCTATAACTCGACTTTCAATTGTTGAATATCCCCCTACTACTATCTTTTTTTCTTTATGCCCCACCTCTATTTTGAAGAGACTTCATGCAAAACCTTTCAAGTTGGATTGAAATTCCTATTTCTGCAAACAAGACTTGTTAGCTGCAGAGACTTTTTGAAGAGGAAGAGGTTTTGAAGTGCTAGTTGGATTGGATTAAGGATGGAGTGTTATTGGGCACAATTTGACCAACAAAAGTGCTTTTATCTCTTGTGGGCAAATTTTAGAAGCTTCCTAGGGTGGGTTTGGCTCAAAAGAGGGGAGGG